TCATTGGTAATTTTGGAGAGATATTGTCGACATTGGAAGCCTGATTGCAGAGGCTTTAGAAGGGAGGGTGAATCAGAATGAAGCATACTTTTTTCACTTTTTTCCATTGCTTTTTTTTTTCAACATGCACAGCTAATATGGAAATATGTTTTTCATGACTTCACATGTATAATGAATATCATATTGCTTGCCTTTTCAATGGATGGGAAAGGTGCTAGAGTGGAGGGGTGAATTTGGAACTGAAAATAAAAATGTAAAAAAACAACATTTACATAGCGGCAAGTTCACACCTTTCTTAGCTTTCCAAAGGAAAGAAGGAGGAGGAGGAGGAAGAAGAAGAAGGAAGAGGAGGAGGAACAAAGAGGAGGAAAAGGAAGTGGAAGCCCTGCAATTAGACATTTTTTTCAAGGACTTCAGCCGTGAAGGGAAGGAGACACAGGGTGATAGCTAGCAGGAGTGATAAGGATCCATTGAGGACTTTTTCAGGTGGTAAATTTTTTAGTGTTTTTAAGAAAAAGGGAAGGAGCCTGTAGATAGCTGGAGACTAAAAATTCAAGAGAGTGGGAATGATAGTGGAGGCAATACTGGGGAAAGGGAGAAGGGGTAGGATCAGGGATGCACATAGAGGCCCTGGCAAGGAGAAGCAACATCTCTTCATTGTGTGCATGTGGGGGAAGTGATATATAAGCCAATTGGAAAATCCAGAGGAGACCTTTAAAAGGTCTTCTCTTAACCAATTTTTTTATGTATTTTTGCAATGTGTTACTGGTCGTTTTTTATCTCTGGGTAAATTCTGAGAGCTGTATGCTCCATACCCCAAATCATAATATAGAACTATGAAAAAGGCTTTTTTTTTGGAATAAGTGTCCTTTATTTGGAGGCAGAACATTTGGGTTCAGTTCCCAACTCTAGCAGCCCCCATCCATGTGTCCTTGAAAAACAGCTACCATTTATATAATAGCTAGCATTTATACAGCTCTTAAAGGTTTGCAAAGCTCTTTACATGTTATCTCATTTGATTTGCACAATATCCCTGAAAGGTTGGTGTTATTATCATGCCCATTTTACAGATGAAAAAGAGAGGCTAAGTGACATGCTTAGGGTCACACAGCTAGTAAGGGCCTAAAATGAGATTTAACCTCCCTTTCCCTCACTCCATTCACTGTGACACCTAAGTGCCCATAAATTACTTAAGCTCTCAGGTCCTCAGTTTACTCCTATGTAAAAATAGAAAGATTGGATCAGACTTCTAAGGTCACTTCCAGCTCTATATCTCTGATGTTCTGGACCCCAACACATAGCCTTTTTGTTGTAATGTAATGTACAAAGAAGAGAATAAATTTGGCGTATGTTACCTAAAAATTCACACTTAAAGAATTGTAAGGTCTCCTTGGACCACAAGCTGTCATATTTATCTCTGCATCTCCACCAGAAGCATGTCATCATCTTAGTCCACATTTTGGTCTCAGTCTCATGGAAGGTGGAAGCGAGATTTTAGATAGAGGATTACCAAGGGTGTAGGTTTTATTAAAAAAAAACAAAACTGGACCACAGTGGAGTACGTCACTGAACAGTAGCTGTGTGCTGTGTTGACAGCTATAACAATTTATCTCTCACCAAGCCCAGACCCAACTTCTGAGGTCTTAAAGGTGAGCAAAATTCAGAGGATGAAAGAAGGTTTATAAGAAAATGGGATGATGAATAGAAAAAATAGCGGTGTCCAAAGCAAAACCCTATTAGGGGTGATATGTGAATTCTACTCCTCCTCTTATTATGAAAGTACTGTGATATTCAGCATGCCCCAAGGATGAAGATGTTTTAATACTTTGGGATTTTTTTTTCAAAGTAACACAACTCCAATTTTTTTGAATAATGCAAATCAATGAAAACTTATTTTTCTACCAATAACGTCAGAAGTATAGCAGGACAAGGTAGAGCTAATGGGTGGTGATAGAAATACAAACAAAAGGAAAGATCATCAGGAAAAATTAAAGAATGATTCAAAAACAAAGAAGTTCAGGAGGGGCCAAAAAATAAGACGATCTCTTTACTACCTTGTTAAATTTAACATATTTTTGAAGATAGACTATGGAACAGAATTTCATGGTTTCATATAAAGTCATCCTTTTTTTTGTTTTTTGTACATTAAAATGCTTGTGATTGTGATAAATTACAAAATAAAGATAACATTCCATATTATAATATATAATATATTCACTATAATAATCATGTGTGATATAATAATATGGACAGCTATGTGGTGCAGTGGATAAAGCACCAGGCCTGGAATCAGGAAGACTCATCTTCATGAGTTCAAAACTGGCCTCAGCCATTTACTAGCTGTGTGACCCCGGGCAAGTCACTTGACCCTATTTGCCTCATTTTCCTCATCTGTAAAATGAGTTGGAGAAAGAAATGGTAAACCACTCTACTATCTACCAAGAAAACCTCAAATGGGGTTGCAGAGTTGGACACGACTGAAACAACGAAACAGCTATAATAACATATAACTATAACATAATATCTTAATAGAAATGAAAAAAAATGTGATAAAAAACAAATCTTTAAAAATCATACCAAAACTAGTCTTTAGAATGTCTGGAGTTTTGTACTTCTTTGAAGGATATGTCTATTTTAGTTATGGTCAGAGAACTTCACTGTCCAGGCAACACACATCCACATTTGACCCCATCATTCTTCAAATGGCTTTAGTTAAAGGGAGAGAAGGAAGAAATTCCCAGATGTATTGTTCATTGCTTTCCTTCACATACTCTGGTTCTGGCCAGATGGTTCCTTTCCTTTCCTTTCCTACCTCTAATGCTGCTGCACAGGTTGACCCTTGTACCTGGCATGCTCCCTCCTCATCTCTGTTTCCTTCCAAGCTCAACCCACATGTCATCTCCTATACAAGGTCATTTTTCTGACTCAGGGGCTCCACCCTGTTTTACCTTGTGTTTACTTTGTAGCTCTCATATTTTAATATGTGTATATGTCTCCCATCAGTAGAAGGTAAACTCCTTGAAGACAGAGATGTCTTTATTTCTCATTTAATCTCATTTAATGTCCACCACACACTAGGCACTTAACAGATGAGTGTTGAATAAATGAAAATAGACATTGGTTGGAATGGCTTAACTGCATTAGAATGTCTAGAGTATTGGAGGGCAAGAATGGTTTTTCCTTTTGTCTTTATGCCTGGCACATAGTGGGTGCTTAGTAAATGCTGGTTGGGTTGGGTTGGACTGGATCATAAGAAGCCCTCCTTTGTAGAAGTTCTGGCTTTTTTCAAAGGGTCTTCCTAAGCAGACTTCAGATTTCTGAGTATTTAAAGACAACTTAAGGGTGCAGCTTAGGTCAAGTGACTCAACTCTTGCCATCTCGATCTCTCAGCTTTCTAAGCCGTGACGTTTTTCTAAAGGGCAGCAACTCCTCTTTGGAACTGAGAAGAAACCAATGCACCAGAGAAAGACAGAGACCTTTTATCTAATGTTGACATGTCACTCATCTGTTCTTTTCCTTCCTCTTTTGGTGTGCGTTAATAAAAAAGAACATTGGGCAAGGAATCCAAAAACCTTCGTCCTAGAACTAATTCTGTGATGACTCCCTGACAGTGTAGTCCAATAACTTGAACTCTCTGGGCCAGTCTTCTGATCTGTCAGGTAGGGATAAGATAGTGGTAAGAATCAAATGAGATTCCTGGAAGGGCTTTGAAAAGCTGTCCAATACTATAGTAATAATAATGATTAATAGAAGAGAGCCATAGTGTATCCCCAGCACAGGGCACATTACCTGGCACGTAGCATGTACTTAATGTATGGTTGTTGATTGATTGGCCCCAAAGTATTGTCATATATTCTGAAACAAATATAGTAGCAGAGAAAATAGGCCTAAATCTACAGTGGAAAGAGGAGTCAGATGGATTCAGATCCCCCTTCTGACATTACCTGGGTCATCATGAGCAAGTCCGTTAGCTTCCCTGGTCCTCAAGTCCTTCATCTGTAAAATAAAAGAGTCGAATTAAATGAATCCAGATCTCTCCCATTACACTTACTACCTGGGTCATCTTGGGCAAGTGAAACTCTTTCATCTATACCACAGAAAGACTGCACTAGATGACCTTCTGATATACCTTCCATCTCTGGATTTGTGATCCTGTGTCCTTAGGAATGACCTTTCTCATTTTAAAAACAATTGTGATTTCTGGCAGTGTTCCCTATCTGTGTGACATTACAGTTTCTACTTACATACAGCATACTGGATAGCACAGCATTTCTACATATGTTAGCACCTCGAACCAGTGCTATGGGCTTATGCCCAAGCATTAGCATGAAGTTGAAGGTCAAGTTCCTTTCACTTAGAGATATATAAATTAGTAAATAAATAAAACAAAAAAGGGAGCCTGTTCTGAAAAATGGTGTTTAAAGCTCTGTAAAATTAACATTTTCATTATTAATGGAAAAATGAGGGAGGAAAATCTGCTTCCCACATTTCTGGAAGTCTTTCATTGGCACCAGCTGTGGCTAAGAGAATTCTTTCTCCTCCAAAGCCTATTATGCAGGTGAGTGGTGTATTTTATAATGAGTTCTAGGCCACCTGCCTTTTTGAGTAAATTAATATCAAGATGGATATTTTGTCTTTTTTGTCCTCAGTGGATGTGCCTGCAAAGACCTTCCCATTTGGTGCTTCTCTGAACCCCATAAAAATGAACAGTAGATGTTGTTTGGCTATGGATGATTATTTTTAAGACATTTTCTAAAATGCATTTCTGAAAACAACTTCTTTTTTTTTATTATTGAAACATATACTGCCCTAGGTAAAGGAATAAGTCAGAAAAAGCTATAGTCAGAAGTTTGAATCAAATGTGATTGCCTATGATGAATAAAGCAGTGGTCTTAAGTGGACTGTGTCAGTGGCTCAAATGGTTGGCCAGTTTTAACCTGTTTTTTAACAATTCTTCCTTCCCACCCCCCAATTCCCCATAGGAATATTCAGGAGATCTGATGGATTCGGGGAGCCACAGGAGTCTGGAGAATGCCGGGAACGGGACCTGCCGTGATCAGCTGGCTCCGAAGACGAACATAAGCAAGAAAATGGTGCCCGTCCATGCTCTGGACATGCCCCAGGAAATGAAGAAAAGCTGCCCCTTTGAGAAGCAGGGGGAGATGGGGAGTGAGAGGGTCAAGATGACAAAGACCTTGAAAGAAAAGCAGAGCAGCGAGCTGGACAGAGCCGGGCTCAAGAGGAGGACGGACAGTGAGGAAAAGCCTCCGCCGCTGAAGAGAGAGGCCCGGCTCACCGAGCTGGAGAGCCAGCTGATGACTTTGCCTCTGCCTCACATCCCTCTAAAGAACATAATGGATGTGGAGATGAAGCTGGTCTACATCGACGAGGAAGACGTCACCTACGAGTTTGTGGAGTCACTGGTGCCCACCGACTCGCCGGCCACCTGTCAGGCGGCTGAGATGGTGGACTCTCTGAACGCGCCTCATTTCAGCTTTCTGCCCCAGATTGACAAATGGCTCCAGGTCGCCCTAAAGGATGCCAGCACCTGCTACAGGCAGAAGAAATATGCCGTTGCAGCCGGGCAGTTCAGAACAGCCCTTGAGGTATGAAAATTAAGAAACTGCATGTCTGTGGTGGAGGGCGGCATGGGGAGGAGGAGATTGGGATGGCCTGTGGTAGTTCTGAGGTCATTGAAACGAACCGAGATAAATGTTTGATGTCGCCAGGACCGTGAGGGACACTGTCCGTATACAACCAATTATTTATACCTGCAAATTGACAAACATAACGATCCATGAGAGGGAGGGTGGCACCCAAAGTTAGAAAGACCCAGGTTTATGTCTCCCTCTGATCCATGCTGACTACAGGACAAATCACTTAATCTCTGTTTCCCAAGGCAACTCTCTAAGACTCTAAAGTATGTGGCTACTGGAATTGGAGCTGGGGAGGCTTGAGTTTGAATCCTGCTTCAGACAGCCCATGAAAATCACAAAAAAAAAATATCTCTATGCCTCAGTTTCCTCATCTGTAAAATGATGAAGGTGGACTTGAAGATCTCCAAGGTTCCTTCCAGTTCTAAATCTGTGGTCCAGTGGATAGACTTTCCATACTTGGAATTCCCTAAACCGAGTTAGCCCAGGCTAATTGAACAACAACCACCACAATAACAGCTGTTATTTATATAATACTTAGAGAATCAAGGTGTAGTTAAGATAGAGAGCTAGTCTCCCAGTGAGGAAGATGTGGCTTCAAATCCCCACTCTCACATCTGCTGCACTGGTGACTCTGGACACGTAACTTCTCCTCTCAGTGCCCCAAGCAACTCTCAAAGATTTTCAATTGCATAGAAAGTGTCAACCTATATTGATAGAGGAAGTGTCCTCATCCAGGAGTCCCATATATCAGCAAGATCATAGGTTCATTCTACACACACACACACACACACACACACACACACACACTAAATGTATATGTATTTGCTTATTTATATTGTGTACATAAGTGTGCATATATGCATGTATATGTCAATGTACATATATATGTATATTTATATGTGTGTGCAAAATACACACACACACACACACATATATATATATATATACAGTATTATGTCCAAGGTCCCTTCTTTGCTTTAAAGTTTGTTAACACTTTATACACATTTTCTCATGTATAAGTATAAATGCATACATTGATATATTCACATACATGCATGTATATACATACATGTTTGCCCATGTATGTGCATATATGAGATAATATCTATAAAGCACTTTGAAACCCTTGAATATATATATGCACACATATTTACAATATAAGCAATATATATATGTTTGAAGCAATATATATGTATTGCTTACATATGAAGCAATATGTACACAAACACACACAATGATTCCTGTACATGAGAAATTTTATATTGTTTTGCACACTTTTAAGCAAAGAATAAAATCTTGAACATTATACCGTATACATTTATGTGTGTATTTACACACATGTACACACAGAAATATACATATGCACCTCTATACATCAGTGTGTATGTGTGTTTATATATTTAAATCTGTATCTATAGCTATGTGTGTATTCTTGTTGATCTTCAAAGCTTCCCTCCCCCCATTTTTTTTAAGATTGGGTCTTCCCATCTTACCCAGGCTGGAATGCAGGGGCTGCTCACAGATTTGATCTGCCTACTGATTAACACCAAAGCTTTGACCTGCTGCATTTCAAACCTAGGCTGGTTTGTTCCTCCTGGTGGTCCCACATAATATAGTATAGACACATCATCAGCTTAGCCCCCTGCATCTCAGCGCTGGCTCAAGAGATCTGACAGTCTCAGCAGTTCCATCAGTTAGGACTACAAATGGGTGCCACCGTGACTAGCCCACGCACCCTTCTACGCTGAGGATGGCAGCTCCCTGATGTGTCCATGAAAACAATGCCAGATATGTTAACCTAATAGGTCATAGGAAGCTCGAGAAGAGAAGGTTTGTAATTGCTGCTTTGGTGATTAGAATAGATAATAATTAAGAGAGGAATGAAAGACATGCCTTGTTCAGAAATATCATGTGGACTCTCCCACCCTGGTTTTGTGACTTTCCCTGGCTCCACTCAGCAGCCTACAAGTGGGAGATGAGGAAATGAATGATGGGGATCGTTCAGGGTTGAGTTGTGGCAATATATGACTGATAGTTGGGCAAGAGACCAGAGAGGTCAAGAGTAGAGCATAGTATAGAATTGAACTGGTTCAGCCATGAGTCAAGACCAGGAAAGCAAGAGGCTGATGGTCTGATAAATTACTAAGGGTGGAGGAATGAGTCATTTCAGTGAGGATGAAGAATACGGTTGGAATAATGAGACATAGGAAGAGATTGGATGACAAAAGAATATGATCAAGGAATTTCACAGTTCTGGAACATGGAAATAGAAGGCTTGGGGGTGACCAGGCAGAGTAAGAGTCAGGCTACGGCCATGCCTGTATGCAGTTGACTTTGTGGCATGGAGGAGTCAGCCCTGCAGTATTCAGAGCAGAGTTTGGCAGGGCTGTGCTTTGTCCATGTGATCTCCCCTGATTCTCAAAATGAGGTTTTGAGGGGGGTTCTGCAGGCACGAAGGTCTTCATCTCACCTGTGATGAAACTGGGACTCATTGACTTGCCTGGGGTCACACATTCTGAGTGTCAGGGGTCAAATTCAAAGACAGGTCTTGCTGCAGTTTCTATCAGAATCCGGTACCTCTACCTGCTCCTTTGCTCCCTTGCTCCAAAAAAGGCAAAAAAAAAACACAAACCTGTTAAGTGAAAGAAAATGTTCATAACAGTTCAAATCACAGTAAGAATTTCATGAAGAATTAGGCTTCCACTGTGTTATTCCAAGATCAGGAACAGCCACAAATGACCCAAGATTTTTAAGCTCTTTTTATTGGATTTATGTCTGATTTAACTCCACCAAGTGAATAAATGAGAATCCCGATTGGAATCCTAGAAGTATGCTAAATCACTTTCATGAATGCAGAATGAATCTGCCTAAACCTCCCATCCTTAGAACGTCAAGGAGGAAACTGGGCCCCAGAGGCACAAACAGCACAGCTTGTGAGTGGAAGAACCAGGACCAGAACCTAGGTTTCCAGCCTGCCAGGCTGGAGCTCTTTTTATTGTCTCTCTACAAGGACATCTAAAGCTTGGAAAATGAGTCACATCTCCCAAATTGTCATTGCCCTAGAGCCTGCCAATGAAAACACCTGCCGTGCCAGTGGAGATAGTAATGACTTAAGAAAAGTAATCAGAGAGTACTGATCAGGGGTTCTTAACCTTTTTTCATGTATCCTGGACCCCTTTGGCAGTCAGGCTGGTGAAGCCTGTGGGCACCTTCTCAGAATCATGTTTTTCAATGCATAAAGTAAAAATACAAAGTAAATCAGTTATATTGCAAAACAGCTATAGTTGAAAGAAAAAAAACTTAACCCCTAGAAGAAGATATTTCTCTGTAGGTCTGTAGTTTTATCAGTTTGCATGTTCCCTAAAACAATGCTTATCTCAATCCATCTGTGATTGTCCATTCTGTGTGACCCTGTTTTTCTCTACACTCCTCTTTTTCTATGGAATTCAGATAGAAACAATCCTGTGACAAGTCACTACCTTGCTATTTTTTTAATATTCCATGTTCCAGGGACTGTTGCTCAGGTAGATAGAATAATTGCTTTTGTAGTTGAAGAAAACGACTAAAATATAAGCTCATCCTCTGTGGTCTCATAGGACCATCCTTAATGCCACTCTAGTACCAGATAGGAAAACAAGAATTCTAAGCACAGACCCCATGCTTTAATCCAATTCCCATATGATTTTTCATCTCACCTGGTAGGTCTCTATATTGCAAAAGCTTCACATTCTATGACCTTGGATATTATAAGAATTTGGTATAGTGACACCTATTTGAAATATTTTTTAATAGATTGATGTTTTGTCCAGATGATTTTACACAGCAGCTTGGTCTGTAACAATGGTCTGATTTCACTACAGTTTATTGGACAAGACATCTTGAGGTCTGTACAGTAATCAGGCTTCTTAAAGATAATCTATTTGTAATTACTGTTAGCAGTAGCCTGGTTTTGAAATGTGATGATAAACTTCTCCATCTCCACAAGCAAATTGGTTTGACTCAGAAATTTGTTTGATGCTTCTTTGTTGATGTTGTTGTTGGATTCTACATGGATGTTGTCCATGGAAGGTCTTTTTATTCCATTCTCGAATGGTAGCCATTTCATAGGCTCCATCTGTAATCCCCAGGCAAGAGCAGTACAATAATGTGTACATGTTAACTAGCCTTTACAGCTGCTTGGTGAAATGATGTCTGCTTGCTCTAGAAGTTGTTCTGGAGAGTTTTGATCTGTTGTGTTCTCCAAAATTGCTTATCTATCCTTTACTGCTTTTTTTGGAAAGGGAGTGTTAATTTTTCTATAGCTATCTTAGGGTTGTGAGTCCTTTCTTCCACTAATATGGTTCAAGTTTTTGTAAGGATGCTTTCTAAATCTGTTGGTCTACTTCACAGTTTCAAAAGCGTACATTGACTTCTATTACATAAGTGTTCATTGCTTTCACTATGTTCATCTAGCTTAGCTTTGATTTCAGGATGCCAGTGAACCTCTTAACATATTCAGCCTCAGCTTTCTTCATGATAACTTTGTATCTGTGTCCTGCCTAGAAGGGATCAAGATGTTTGTAAGTATCACCACTATTGCCTCAATTTGACCTCCAGGTCCAAGATTGAAGCTTTTTGTCATTTACTTTTCCTGGGGCGTGTGAAGGGGTTCACACATATCAGGTTAAAGTGACATTTTGATTCAGAAGAGAAATACTCTATGAGATGAAGAAGCTTGTTTGTGTTTTTCAGTGGAGCTATATGGATTGCAGTCATTCATGTACATGAACATGAAGTGATTATTAGGGTATTTTGGCTTGACTCCCTCTCTTTTTGGAAGCCATATTTAGTTTTATTTATAGAGATGATAATGGATTTAAGTCTAGGTAAATTATAATGGGCTTGCCCTTTCTCTTAAAAAAATACTATCTGTCGTATCATTTGTTCTTGATATTATTGTATTGCTGTCA